AAACCTATAAGATACACTTGATAGCCAATGATATCTTGTTGAACACTTTTGACTGCAATGACTTACACAATGACAAAATGACAAGTTTGTCTGGGGTGTTTGACTATGCAAAAGAGGGCTAGAACAAGGCATTTTGATCATAATGACATAAGCAACCACTGATGTATGATATAGCTGAGAATTGCACATAAGCATCTGCCTGAGTGTACTAAAGCAATTGCAAAATGACAAAAACAACCAGAAATTGCTGTTATGATCTGCACAACTGACTAGAGGTTGTGGGAATTGAACGAGCAGTTTTGAGAACTTCAATTCTGTTGTGAGAAATGCATCAAAGCAACTGAGAAAAACTGTAATATAAAATAAAATATCGCGAGGGTTTAAATTAATGAAAATCAGTGCTTTTATTTTGAAACTTAAGAATTTGTCACATACCGGAAATAATTATTCTTCGTCATTTGCTTCCGAGTTCATTTGAACCGGAAATACTTGCCTCTGCTTACGGGTTTTGTCAATATTTGTGGGGGTTTAGTGTTTGTATCCTCAACACATTTGCTATAAACGATATCAAAAGTAATTCTTTGACATTAGCACAGCTCGCAAATTATTTTGACAACATGGGAAAGTCATTTGCAAATTTTATGTGTAAAAAAGATTTTCATCCTGCCTCGAAATCTAACATTAAAAAGGTAAGCGAAACTCATGGCTTTTTGATTTAAAGAACTTCAAAAATTGTACGACATAATATTCAATGGACGCAAAAGTTAGTTAAACTAAATTGAAACTAAAATACTGAAATTAGTTTAAGTTAAATGCGTTTTTGGTTTTGATTTCTTTCCTCGTTTGATATGCTGTACAAGTCTTTTATTTTATATTTAGCGAAACTTAAACTAATCTAACTTTTCTTTCAAAATATTTTCACGATATAAGTAGTATGCGTTATTGAATTATTCGATGATTGTGTGTAGGTATGGATAGCGGAACAGAAGTTGACGTTTGATAAGAGGAAACAAGAAGATCTGATGCAGGCTTACCTGAAGGAACAGGAAACTTATAACAACAGGTCTGAATTGCTTCCACCTAGGAACTAAGCAGCTTGTTGGTCTGTACTAAGTGTCGTTGATGTGGTCTTAGTATTTCCGTTTGCCTGAATTGAAAATTACATTGCGGTTCAAGGGCAATGCTCCTTTAGTTGTATTTGATCCATGCCGTTGTGTAACAACAACTGTACTGAAATATTTTAAATTAAGAGATAACTGTTTAAGTGTAGCTCTTGTGATTGGTGGCATTTTATGTTCATATTTTCTGAAAAAATAAAATGCTTTCTTGCAGGCTGTTGATGGGTGATGATCGTGTGAAAAATGGTCTCAATTTTATGTATGAGGCACCACCTGGCGCATCAAAAGGTATTTTATTTTAAGGGTGTGCTTGAAATGCATACCTTTTTAATATCTGGCCATATTTATTATTAATATGTATCTTGTTTCTTTTTCTTGGTTTATTTCCCTTTTGGTTATGAAGAGGAGACAAAAGAGGTATTGTTTTTCATTTATCCATCCTCAAACCATTTATCCGGGTCCAGGTCACTGGGGGCTGGATCATGTTACATGGCTGCGATTTACGGTGTGCCCTCGACATGTCAGTCCATCACACAGCAAACACACGCGCATACAAATTGTCCAGTTTATTGATGCTAATTATTGCATGTCTTAGTATTTGAGGTTGGGAGGAAACCTGTACAACTCAGGGGAACATGCATACTCCATGCATACTCCGCACAGACGCACAAACATACAGTACCAAAGATAGATTAAAACGTCTAACCTTGGAGGTTTGAGGCAACAGAGCTACCTGCAGTGTCATTGTATTGTTTATCGTCTTAATAGATTTCAGACCCCTGTCTATCTGCTGTTTAATGTTTGCAGGAAATTATTTTTTCTACCAAATCTATGATTTTCTGAATATATGTAAGTAGCTTTGCAATAGAATAAATTGGAAGGTTTTTAAAGTATTGTATGTTATGTACAATTTTTATATTAGTCTTTTTCTACAGATTGTTTTGTTTAATATCTTTTTTTATATAAATCAACTGTATTCTGCCTTTTTATTCATTGCAGGAAGGCGAATCAGAATACAAGTTTGAATGGCAGAAAGTAGCTCCACGTGAGAAGTAAGTATAGCAGGTTTTTAAGTTTTCAATATGAACAACCGTTTAGTTTTTCTGTTTTTGAGAGAATCATTTAATCCTTTTTGCTTTTTAGATATGCAAAGGATGACATGAACATCAGAGATCAACCTTTTGGAATTCAGGTATAGTTTTGTTCATTCCAATTCAATCCTTTTTGTGCATTTATTGTTGTGTTTGGGAACTGTGGGGTTTCGGGGGATGTCGTGATTTTGGTGAATATGACATCTGATCAGTGGTTGCCTTCTCTGGTGTCCCTAGCTGCAACTTCTCTTATTTCGATGACCATGATTCAGAACTTGTCCTTATATTTTGCTAGTAATTGGAAGGTTGGTGGTCTGAATCTCGTGGGGGGTGATGGAATGTCATTGATGGGCCCTTAACCCTCAGCTGCTCCAGGGACTGACTCTTCCTGCTTTTTCAATTAAGCATTACTATTGACACATCTGCTACTGAACAAATGGAAATGTAATGGTATCCAATGAAAGCTGTAGTGATCCAGGACCTACCTCAGGAGATTTAATGCAAAAAGGACATGAAATGCAGCTAGTGATGGTGCTAATTCTCGTGATTATCCATATTTGTATGTAAACTGTAGAGATTCCCTTTAAACTCATTGGTACCACTTTATAATAAGGCTCCCTTTTGCCACTAGTAAATGGTAGTAACTCATTAATAAAAAGAAAACTGTATTATAACTTGTTTAAAATTGTCTTAATAATTTACAAAGTGTTACAACCTAATTAATAACCAGATTATAAACCATTCATAAATCCTTTATATGGGTCGGCTTATTGTAAAGTGGCACCAACTCATTTTGCTTGTAAATGCACAAACCAAACTTTAAAATACATATCTGTAATATCTGAAATCCTTTTAATTGTAAAGGCCAGGGTTTTACCATGTGATTATGTGAGATGTGTCGACACGAACAACATTTATTTGTTTCAGCAGCCTTTCTTGCACTGTGCACATGAGTGGCAGAAGGTTTAAGCTGCATAGTGATGTGTAAAATGCATGACGATAACATCGAGTGTCATTCCAGAGTATTGCCATGTTGTCTCAGACTTTAGAGCAAAGTCTGTGGGACTAAATGCTTTAAGACGATTCATACCTTATTCATGTTCCAGTGTTTGCAGGCATCATGTTTTGTGACAAGCATAATTGACTAACTTTGTTGCTGATCTACCCTCCTTCCGCAGGTGCGTAATGTGAGGTGCATCAAGTGCCACAAATGGGGCCATGTGAACACGGACAGAGAGTGCCCGCTCTTTGGCCTGTCCGGGATCAATGCCAGCTCCATGGCCTCCGAGGGTGCAGGTGGGTGGCAGTCTGCCTGCAAGCATCTCCTGCTCTTACTATCAAATGGATTAAGTCTGTTAATTATCCACATTAAACAAACAGACTTAAAAACTGTTGCAAATGTTTTATTACAAGAAATGGCCTTGCTTGTTAACGTCATTTTCAACATTTGTGCTTCAAAGCTCGCCAATACTGATTAGTGATTCTTCTCATTTCTGTCAAACCCATTTTAAGTGTTCTGCTGTTTTAACATTTGGGAAATTGTGTATTGTTGACTAACAGACTGACAGGTGTTTTCTGCCACTCCCCATCCTGTGGGAAATTGAGTATTTTTCGTACCACCTGTGATCCTATATGTTTTTGTTATAAGTATGTAGACACTTTTTTCCCCCACTGTTAAGGTAATGTGGTTATGTTTGGGTATAAATTTGCAGAAATAGAATGCAGTAGATAGACCTTTTTGACCTTTGTAGATAGACCTTTTAGAAGACGACGATGTTGCCGGGTACTGGTGTGTCATCTGAGGTGCTTCCGACCCACTTTTCTATCACACGGAGGGACCCCCCCCCCCCCCCCCCCTCTGGAAATCAGAGATGTTGGCACGATGGCGTGTCTACCCAGGGGAGCCTCTCGCATACAGTGTTGACAGTGGAGTCCCCCTCAAGCTGGAAGAGAAATGCAATTACTGTGTATTTTGACCCGCCCACCCCTGCCCGCTGCTTCAGGGGAATAATATCTTATGATTTGCTCAGCCGGAAGAGCGAGCGAGTCGATTTGTTCACCTCCCGCAGGAACAAAGGCGCCGCCGCGCTCCCCTGCTGCGGAGGGAGTAGCGGCAGTGGGCAGGCGTCAATGAGACTGTTAAAGCTGTGATTGGTCCTAACAGGTCCATCGATGCACCCCTCGGAGTTAATGGCCGAGATGCGAAACAGTGGGTTCGCACTGAAGCGGAGTGTGCTGGGGAGGAACGCCACAGTGTGTGATCTCACGCAGGTAATTGTCTCCTAGACGCCACCCCTCCGCACCCGATCCGGGGTGGGGGGTGCCTGGTCCACCCCAACAATATTTATGACAGATTTTGAGTTTGTCTGACTGTTCCAAAGTGGCCAGTTATGAGCAAATGATGGACCTCTTACATCACTTCCAGTTTGTGGTGAGCCGGGCCGCTTTAATGAGCATGAATTCTGGTAATGTGCCTGCAAATAGGTCCTCATCATTTCTCCAAAGCGAGAATTGCAGGATTTCTTCATTCCTCCTCCTCCCTTTGCTGCTCATTTTGTGCTCCTTGCAAGCCCCTGCCTGTGTGACCTTCATGGCCTTCAGTTAATATGGCCTGGCAAAGTTTGTTTTTCATAGCATGAAAAGTATTTCTTCTGCCATAGGAATATGTGGTCAGTGAAGAAGAGGAAGACCCTGAAGTTGAATTCTTGAAATCTCTGACTAAAAAACAGAAACAGAAACTTCTCAGGTGTGTTTCCAAGAACGCCAATTCTTAGCACATGTAAATGTGGATTTTTTTTTTGTCATACTAATACCACTAAATTCAGATCCCAGGAATACATTGTCATTGGTCCGTCAGCATCTAGTTTATTATGGAGTCATCCTGTTTGTTTAATTCCATTGAAGGAAACTAGATCGACTGGAAAAGAAGAAGGAGAAGAAAAAGAAGCGCAAAAGCAAGCACAAGAAGAAACGGACGAATGACTCGACATCCAGTGACACCTCCGATTGCAGCAGCAGCAGCGATTCCGACACTGACTCAGAGAGTCAGTGCAAGGCCAAGAAGAGGAAGAAAGTGAAGGGGAAGAGGTCCCTCAGTGATGGCAGCAAGAATTCAAAAAGCCCCCTCAAGACACAGCTTTCTCCTCAGAGGGGCAGATCAAGGAGTCGGGATCTAGGGAAGCAAGAATGCAAGGAGCTGGAACCCACATCTGCGCGAGGAGGCCGGGTTACCGATCAGGAGAGGAATGAACACTGCAGCAGAGACAGGCAGGCCCACTGCAGTGGAAGGGACCTCAGTCCGCAGAGAAAGAGGGACAGTGAAGGACTCCAGTACGAGAGGAGAAAGAGGAGTGAAGCTGTGGGTAGAGCATGGAGAGGAAATGAGGACGGCAGTAGCAGGGACAGGGAAAGGGGGCAGGGCAGGGGCAGGGAAAGAAGCAGGAGTAGGGACAGGGAAAGGGGCAGGAGTAGGGACAGGGAAAGGGGCAGGAGTAGGAGCAGGGAAAGGGGCAAGAGTAGGAGCAGGGAAAGGGGCAAGAGTAGGAGCAGGGAAAGGGGCAAGAGTAGGAGCAGGGAAAGGGGCAGGAGTAGGGACAGGGAAAGGGGCAAGAGTAGGAGCAGGGAAAGGAGGCAGAGCAGGGAAAGGGGTAGGAGCAGGGAAAGGAGCAGGGACGAGGTAAGGAGCAGGCACAGGGAAAAAGAGAGGAGCAGGGATCGGAACAGTGAAAGATAAAGTGACAGAGGCAGGAGCAGACATGGGGAAAGGAACAGAGAAGGATAGAAGCAATGAGAGAAGACTGAAAGGAATATATGTGACAGGCAAGCATCACTTTTTGCATTTTACAGTACAGTACAGCATGAATCTTCCCTAAAACTACTCATTATATTGGAATTAAAAGTATTTTGCATAGAATAGCTACAAAAAGGATATTGATCCATTTTTGATTTATGTATTTGATTATAATCATTGGTTAACACCAGTTAAAATTAAAATCACACATGGATCACACTTACTGTTTGTGTTCTTTTTAATGAAAATTAACTACAGCTATAGTGAATGTTAGTGTGAGGCCAGGTTGTAAAATGACAGGATTAACTCCTTGGTTGAGAATGTCTGATCAGCAGCAAACACATTTTTTTCATTTAACGATGTGGCTACATGCCTGACTACCAGACGTATAGAAGCATAAGCCAAAATACTTCTAGTTCACACAGCCCCCATCTATATGCATCAGGTGTGACAACTTTCAGACTCTTAAGTAAGAAATCGTACAGTAAATCGACATTATTCCAATATACACCTAAAATTAGCTATATCAAAAGCATTGGAGTAGTTTGGAAACCCTACAGACTATTTACAAGGTGGCAAAATGCTCCTGAGAGTATTACTTATACAAAAATGTTCTGAGGGCAAAACAAAAAAAATGCATAGTTCAGAGTGCTAACCAATCACATTGTACTGGAGGTGGATCCAGGCAACTAAAGGAGGCAGAACCATCCAATCAGATGTCTTGGTCCTGCTTCCTCTAGTTGCTTGGACCCACCTCCTCTACAATCTGATTGGTCATCTCTCTGAACCAATAATGTTTCATTCTGCCCTTATAACACTTTGTGTAAGTAAAACTCCTACGAGCAATAAGTTTGTTACATACATGTAAATGTCTGTACATGTGTGTGCAGACTTATCTCAAACTACAAGTCTCACTCTCACCAACTGAGTAAAGTTGATAAACCTGTCATTAGTTATCCTGCTTGAAGTGGCAGAAGAAGATATTTCAAGAAGAGGAGCAGGAATATATTTATCAATATCACATTTTATTTAATTAAGTATTGAGGCAGGGTGAGATGGCTTTATGTCTTGCTTTAGAAAATATCTACATGTCTTGTCTCTATGTTGCACCATGGTCCTGGTCAACGCTGTTATATATCACTGTACAAAATGTGTATATACAATCATGCCTGAAATTATCAGCACCCCCTAGAATTTTTCCAGAGAATGCACCATTTCTCCAGAAAATTGTTGCAATTCAAAATGTTTTGGTATACACGTTTAATTCCTTTATGTGCATTGGATCAACACAAAAAACAGAAAAAAAAACAAATTTTACATCAATTCACACAGAACTCCAAAAATGGGCCAGACAAAATTATTGGCACCTTTTCAAAATTGTGGGTAAATCATTTTATTTCAAGCATATGATGCTCGTTTGAACTCACCTGTGGCAAGAAACAGGTGCTGGCAGTATAGCAATCACACCTGAAGCCAGTTAAAATGGAGAAAAGTTGACTCAACCTTTCTGTTGTGTCTATGTGTGCCACACTAAGCATGGAAAGCAGAAAGAAGAGCAGAGAATTGTCTGTGGACTTGAGAACAAAAATTCTGGAAAAATATCAACAATCTCAAGACTACATGCAAGTCCATTTCCAGAGATCTTCATGTTCCTTTGTCTGCGGTGTGCAACATACTCAAGAAGTTCACAACACATGACACTGTAGCTAATCTCCCTGGACGTAGATGAAAGAGAAAAATTCATAAACTGCAATGGATAGTCCGAATGGTGGATAAACAGCCCCAATCAACTTCTAAACAAATTCAAGCTGTTCTGCAGACTCCGGGTGCAACAGTGTCAGTTTGAACTATGTGTTGACATCTGAACGAAATGGCAGGAGACCCAGGAGGACCCCACTGCTGACACAGAAACATAAAAAAGCCAGACTGGAGTTTGCCAAAATGTACCTGAGGAAGCCAAGATCCTTCTGGGAGAACATCTTGTGGACTGATGAGACCAAGGTAGAGCTTTTTGGTAAAGCTCATCATTCTACTATTTACAGAAAACAGAATGAGGCCTACAAAGAAAAGAACACAGTACCTACAGTCAAACACGGTGTTGGTTCTAAGATGTTTTGGGGATGTTTTGCTGCCTCTGGCACTGGATGCCTTGACTGTGTGCAAGGCATCATGAAATCTGAAAACTACCAAAAGATTTTGGGGCGCAATGTAGGGCCCAGTGTCAAAAAGCTGGGTCTGCGTCAGAGGTCATGGGTGTTCCAGCAGGACAATGACCCCAAACATACCTCTAAAAGCACCCAGCAATGGTTGAAGACAAAGTGCTGGAGAGTTCTGAAGTGGCCAGCAATGAGTCTGGATCTAAATCCAATTGAACACTTATGGACAGATCTCAAAATTGCTGTTGGGAGAAGGCACCCTTCAAATCTGAGAGACCTTAAGCATTTTGCAAAAGAAGAGTGGTCGAAAATTCCAGTTCAGTGGTATAACAAGCTTGTTGATGGTTATAGGAAGCGATTGATTTCAGTTATTTTTTCCAAAGGGCATGCAACCAAATACAGTGGTACCTCAGTTATCTAACTCATTAAAACTCGAACTTCTTAAAAGTCGAACCAACCAGTTTGAATTTTTTTTTTACCTATAACTCAATCTGAATCTCAGAAGTCAAACCGTGAACGCTGACCTAAGATAACTTGCACGCGCGGGGAAATTAGTCACGGGGCACGTCTCTCAGCAGAAACAAAGGGTAACGCTACAGTCTCAGCCTCGCATTAGCTGGGAGAGCATCGTGCATGATTACACAAGCTGAATACATATATTTAAACAGTAAAAATACATTTAGACAATGATAGACAGTAACAGTAATTATTATATAATAAAATACATTTAAAAATAAATATTTCTTATTAATTATTTTAATATTAATAATAAACCAATAATACATTTAATTATAATAATATTGTCGTGCCCAGCGGGGACGGAACGGAGACAAAGGCGCAGACGTCAGGGTATCAGGGAATACAGCGTTTAATTACAGGTAAGACAGGCAAAACGCAGAAGGACAATACAATGACCGGACTGGGGAAACAAACTGAAACGCGGACTAAATATAGAGGGCTAATGAAAACAACCAGAAAGAACTGATCACACTGGGATTCCACACGGGGCTAACGAGGGGGCGTGGCACACGGAAGGAGTGGACATTGTTTTTTTTAACTTTACACATTGTTTGGATACATTTATTTTCTTACTTTAAAAATTACTGTTTTAATAAATGTGCTTAGATGTGTTTAATACAGTATATGCTTTTCTTGTTTTGTCCGGTTCATTTTGTGTTTAAATGCTAAAAAAAAACACATTTCGGTGTAATTTTTTTGGGGCCGGGAACCAATTAATTGGTTTCACATTATTTCTTATGGGGAAAAGTCGATCAGAACTCGAATTTTTTAGGATTCGATCCGGAGTTCTGAACGGATTAATTTCGAGTTCTGAGGTACCACTGTATTAAGTTGAGGGTCCCAATAATTTTGTCCAGCCCAGTTTTGGAGTTTTGTGTGAAATTATCTCAAATTTGGCTTTTTTTCTCTGTTCTTTGTGTTGATCCAATGCACATAAAGGAAATAATCATGTGTATACCTAAACACTTGTAACTGCAGCAATTTTCTGGGAGAAATTGTGCATTTTCTGGAAAAATTCCAGGGGTTGCAATAATTTCGGCCATGACTGTATGATATGGCAACAATATGCAGTTAAATTTGATATAAAACAAACCGTCATACCTATATTGAAATCTAAATAAACTGAATCCTTGAGGGTTATTCCACTAAATAAAAATGCGCTATGCTTAGTACTGTTCCGTCTACACAAGCGCAGTCATACAGTTAGAGCTCCTCACCCCTGCACACTGGATCTAAAACCAAGCAGTGACAGGTGACCACCTTGTCTCAAATGTTACTTTTACGTCTTCAATGGACTGTATAGAAGCTACAGTCTTTTTAAAACATGTTGCCTAGAGATCTCAGAACTATTCCGTCATCATGAGTAAACGACGGTCATTCGCTCATCGAGAAAATTATTTAATCACAAGAAAACATAAAAATATTTTTTTTCCTTTCTCGATTAAGGTAATTACAGATTTTACAGACTTTTCTGTGTTGTGGGGTGCTATGGTAGGAGGGACGAGAGCATGCCCAAGATCCTCCCCGGCGCCGCCGCTGAAATCTATACCATCCCCCCCGCCCCCCCGACCTACCGCCCGATGTGAGCGATGTGCTCAAAATGCGCTTTAATGTATGTTATCACATTTATGCATGCAGCACTGATGCGGAAATGTGTGACTACTTCCTCATTAACTAGTGGTTAGTAGTTAAATTGATCTATCTTTATTATCTGTAGAGAACAAGTCGTGCCGAGAGACGTGACTTGTGCTGACAATTCACAGTATTTTCCAATAGGGGGAGCCAAGTCCATTAATGTGAAAAACAGCCGGTTTTTAGATTACGGGGTTTCGTGTAAAATAACAGTGAGATAACCAAATATTAGCAATGCACAGAATTTTAGATTTCAAATAATGGGCAGGTTTAGTGCTTAATTTGTACATATTTGAAATGTAGAAAACCGCATTTCCGCTTCCAAAATTTTTAAATGAGTGATAAATATGCATCTGGTGAATTATTACAGGGGAACATTGAAATAAAGCAGTAACTGCTTCATACACATTTTAAATTCGGGCGAAGAAGTCGGAAGGCTGCTATCCATACAGCCTATAGGAAATTGACGTTTATAAAACTACATAAAATGTTTGGTTTCTTTAAATTTCATGATAGGCCTATTTTATATGCTGCGTAATTATGAACGTGCTGATAAACTTGGTTTCCAGCATCATATCTTTACCAAAGTCTTGTCATTTGTTGATGCAATCGATCATGAAGGGAACATTATATACTTGATTATATAATGTTTTTTTCGCCATATAGATTTATAGAATGCTCTTTTAAATGTACTTTATTATGGTCATTGTTATTATTATTATTATTATTATTATTATTATTATTGATAATAATAATAATTCTATGCATGTAATTTCTGTAGACGCGTCTACATTATTTTCAAATAACAATAGTTTGCCTATTTAGGGTTTGCATTTGAATTTCAGATTTATTCGGTCTTTGACCTATGTTAAATAACTTCGATGTTGGTTCACCTTTTCATGTTGAATGTCA